AAACATTTAGATAAATGAATGAATGAAATATGTTCTGAACCCCACGAAGCAAAATGTGTAGAGGGGGCTCCAAACGCAGATGGGTAGATTTGCTACATTTTGAAGTTAGGCACATTGCCATCTAAAGAGGAGCTCCCTGCCCCATAAGAACATAAATCAAGAATCTCAAAGTGCACCATAGTTCCCAGGGTACTCCTAATTGTTCTGCCGCAGCACCTACCAGCTGGCATGGTCGCAAAGGAGGAGTACCAGATTATGATCCTGACAGTAACACAACGCAGCATCATTCCTAAATCCAGCAAACTCATCTGAGGCAACTCTTTGGGTTTGTGCTTTGCTCCTTGGCCTATAGCTGACTTTCTCCCATGTGTCCATCAGCTGAAACTGCAGCCCATCTCCATCTCTATACAGCAACCATCCAGCCCCATCTGCTACAGTGCAGAGCTGGAATACTGTAAGCTACAGCAGGTTTGGAGGTGGGAAAACAGGAGATTGCACCTCTGTGGACAAAGCTGCACCTGCCATCTGCTGAGCATCTATTCAAAGCGCTGGAGGCCCCCACCTGGCTGGCTCCTGAGTCGGCAGCCTGGCGACGCACTAAGCCTTTTAATTCTTCTCCAAACATCCTTCAAGCTCCTATGTCAGAAAATCATGCTGACCTGTCATTTACATTCAGCCAGATGTTGTCTGTATCTCCAGGATTTAGAGTTAATAATAAGCCATTTGGGTAACCCCTTTCCTGGTGTAATTCCATGCCTTGGATATCCATGTGTAAAGCTTTCTCTTGCGTTATTCAAGTCTTGCAAAGCAAAAGGGAACTTTTTCTAGAATTCAGCTGAGCTTCCTTAAATCTCAGGCACTCCGGGGCTGGCAATGCTTGACTTGTGTCTTAAGCAAGCATTATAAGTCATCATTCTTTGCATTCTGAGCCAAAAAGCAACAATAGGGAGTTTAGTAGCATCTCTACTGAGTAGATCTGCTGAGGATCAAGTTGCTGCTGATATGTGGTTGAGTTAGCACACATGCATTCATTGCTTCATAACTGCATTGTCAAGTGGTTGCTTGAATGTGCGTGTCACTGAACAGGCCAAATACTACAGCCAGTGCATTTATATAATAATAATAATATATTATTATTTCTTCCCCACCCATCCGATTGGGTTGCCTCGGCCACTCTGGGCAGCTTCCAACAGAATATAAAGAACACACGATACATAAGACATTAAAAGCTTCCCAATACAGGGCTGCCTTCAGATGTCTACAGAAGATCATATACAGTAATTGTTTATCTCTTTGGCATCTGACAGGAGGGCATTCTACAGGAAGGGTGCTGCTACCAAAAGGGCCCTCTATAATACCACCCAGATCAATATAGGTTTGCATGTTCAGCTGTGAGTCATTCACTGAAGGATGTACAGTGGTGCCCCGCAAGACGAACGCCTCGCAAGACGGAAAACCCGCTAGACGAAAGGGTTTTCCGTTTTGGAGGCGCTTCGCAAAACGAATTTCCCTATGGGCTTGCTTCGCAAGACGAAAGCCCATAGGGAAATCTCCGGGGACCTCTTTTAAATGCTAGCGGTGGGGAGCAAAGCCTTCCCCCTCCGGCCTTCAGAAGAGGTCCAGGAAGGCTGGCGGGGGCCGAAAGGCTTTGCTCCCCACCGCCAGCATTTTAAAAGCAGTCCGGGATAGCAGGGAAGCGCTTCCCGCTATCCCGGACGGCTTTTGAAGGCAGGAGAGGTCCGCGAAGCCTGCGCGCGCTGAGATCAGCGCGCCCAGGCTTTGGCATGCCGGCAACTCTCCGCAAGCAGCGGCAGCGCTGCCGCTGCTCGCGGAGAGGTCCGCGAAGCCTGGGCGCGCTGATCTCAGCGCGCGCAGGCTTCGGCATGCCGGCAACTCTCCGCAAGCAGCGGCAGCGCTGCCGCTGCTCGCGGAGAGGTCCGCGAGCCTGGGCGCGCTGATCTCAGCGCGCGCAGGCTTCGGCATGCCGGCAACTCTCCGCAAGCAGCGGCAGCGCTGCCGCTGCTCGCGGAGAGGTCCGCGAAGCCTGGGCGCGCTGATCTCAGCGCGCGCAGGCTTCGGCATGCCGGCAACTCTCCGCAAGCAGCGGCAGCGCTGCCGCTGCTCGCGGAGAGGTCCGCGAAGCCTGGGCGCGCTGATCTCAGCGCGCGCAGGCTTCGGCATGCCGGCAACTCTCCGCAAGCAGCGGCAGCGCTGCCGCTGCTCGCGGAGAGGTCCGCGAAGCCTGGGCGCGCTGATCTCAGCGCGCGCAGGCTTCGGCATGCCGGCAACTCTCCGCAAGCAGCGGCAGTGCTGCCGCTGCTTGCGGAGAGGTCCGCGAAGCCTTGGCTGGACAGCTTTTGAAGGCAGGTGGGGGACAAGACTTCGCCCCGCCAACCTTCAGAAGAGGTCCAGGACCTCTTCTGAAGGCTGGCGGGGGCAAAGTCTTTGTCCCCCTGCCTGCCTTCCCAGGGGCTTTGAATTGCCCCGGACAGCGGAGAAGTCCTCCGCTGTCCCGGGGCAATTTTAAAATGCCGCCCGCCAGCATTTTAAGATCGCCCGGACAGCGGAGAAGCCCTCCGCTGTCCCGGGGTTTTTAAAATTGCTGGGGTGGGTGGGAAGAACAGCCCTGGCCCCCCCCCCCCCCAGCCTTCAGAAGAGGTCCGGGGACAGACTGTCCCCGGACCTGGTCTGAAGTCGGTTTCCCTAGGAACGCATTAATTGATTTTCAATGCATTCCTATGGGAAACCGTGCATCGCAAGACGAAAAACTCGCAAGAAGAAAAAACTTGCGGAACGAATTAATTTCGTCTTGCGAGGCACCACTGTACATGTATGAGTGGCTCTGGATTTGTGAAAATTAAATTTTGCTATGGGAAATTTCCATCCTTTGAACACTAGAGGGCCAGCATTACCTTACAATGGACTCCTGCAAGCAGAAACACAGGCAGAAAACTTTTATCTTCATGATAGCAAAACATTTTTAAAGCTTTGTTCTAATAAGATTAGGGCTTCATATATGTGATCTGCATACAGGGTTTTGTAGTCATTCTTACCTGGACATTTCAACCATGTTTATGTAACACAATCCTTCTCTGGGGCCTGGGTTAAGGCATTTTCAATATTTATCCATTTCCTCCCAACCATCCTTTCTTCTTACCTGTCATCACCACAAACTGAACATTTTCTCTCTCCTCTCTGATTGGTTGTCCTTGAGCATCCCTGTTTTCTTTTGTTTCAAGTTCCCCTCCTACAGGAAAATTGGGGTGACATTTATGACAAGCAATTAACCTTGCAATTGTTCTTTCAGAATTTGCAAAGGAATTCCAGGATATTTTGGCTAGAGGAGTATAAGACAAAGCCAGTTGTCAGGAGCAGCTCCAACACCTAATTTGGTTTTGATCTGCCAGGTTGTTCTCTCTCCTAACCCAGGGTATGATTTTATTTCTACACTGTTTTAAGCTTTTGAGCTGGCTGCTGTTTTTCCGTCTCTGGTTGATATTTTTACAGTGTGCAAAATAGCTGCTTGCTCATGAGTAGGGATGGAAGGAGCTGTCAGTTTCGGTCCCCTCAGTTTTACAGCTTTCTAAATCTTAAATTCAGTTCTCTGAAGCAATTCGCGGATTTATACTTTTTAAAAGGAGTCCTCCTGAAAATAGGTCGGCGTTTTCATGTGAATTTCTTCTGATGGACACACTTTTGTATGCAGGCAATTTTTCTCCTAATATATAAACTGGTTTGTTTTCCATGCACATTTCCCTCTAAAATATTCATTTTTGTAAACTTTGGTTGGAAAACTCCACAACAAAATTCAGCTTCCCACCTCCCCGCCCCACATCCCTATTTATGAGTAGCCCAACTAATCATCAGCCTGGATGGGCTTCACTTAGACAAAGGATATCATGTGGCTCGGCTGGGTTATTTCCTTCCCATATGATGAAAGAACAGAGGAGAAGGGGCAGCCTGTGTTCCTGAACACAGGCTCTGCTGCCATAAATGCTGAAGCATGTAAGACCCTAGAAGCTGTGGCGTATATCATTTTCCTATTATTTCCTTATTACTGGTTGCTGCTTATTAAATAAATCTAAGCAGCATATATATTCTTATCGTAAATAAGATTGACCACTTCCCAGAATGCATCTTGATTAGGGAGAACATAATAGAATGCACGACTTTGTACCTTTTAACGTTTGCTTTGTTTGGGAGAATTTTAAATAGCGTGGCAAGTTGATCTTGCCAACCATCTCCGTTCCACTCAATTATTATGTGGCGAAAGTTTGATTTCATCCCCGTGTTTGGAAAATGTCCGTTTGTTAAACTTCTGCACAGTACACAGGCCTGAAAGACACAGTAGAGGCTTGCAACAGAAGACTGGCTTCAAAATGTGCTTGGAAAACCTCCCAGCTGTGGATTGAGTCACAGCATGAGAAAGAAGGCTTTTGCTTCACACACGCCACACAGAGTGGACCCAGGCCAAAAGCACATTTTCAGCCTCGATTGAATGTAAGCAGCATTAGGACATTGACTTGAGCCTATGGGTCTTGCTCAGCCATCCCCAATCTGGTGTCGTCCTGTTGTGGACTACATCTCCCATCAGCCCCAGCCTGCAATTCCCTTGGCACAATCCGTACTGCTTCCTGTTTGCCTTGACATGCCTGGAACTCAAGCTGGCTCTTCTTATAGTAATAGCACATCACAACAATTGCTGATGAAGGCCAAACCCTAAAGCAACATGTATAGTTAGAAGTTCCAACAGGGAGCTGTTTCTCTGAATGTTGCCAACTGACCAGAATATACTAGCCAATAGTGTGATTTGAAGAAATCAGCAGGTGAATTTTTCATAGGGTGGACATAAATATCAGTGCCTGCAAAATGCCTGCCGATTAAGCTCCCATTAGAAGTAGCGCTACAGGGGCTGGTTGAAAAATTGGCAGCACTTCGGTACAAATAGCTATCTTTTGATTCAGGAAATTTACTATTTGCATTGGCAACTCAGAGCTGAAGGTAGATTGCTGCTGCTGGAAACAGGTTTACTTTATGCCACCTCAAAAAAAGGTAAGCCTAATCTTGTGTGTGTAGAAGGGGGTACATTCAGCCGTAATGATAACCAGTAAGATATTTTGCCAGAAATTGATCTCACTGATCTTGGTGATGCTGCCAGATGCACAGAGGGCTTTAGAAAGTAAAGGCTCCATGACAAAGCACATAATCAATGTGGCCAAAAAAAGAAAAGAAAAGACCTTGATTAAATGGACTACGTTTTCCATGCTTCTAAGTATTTTGTATAGAAATTCTGCTGCACTTACTGTAATCCTCAGGGAAGCTTGCTTGCTTAGATAGTTAGTTAGTTAGAAAGCAACTCTGCTGCTAGTCATTATGTGAACTGAGAGATGGCTTTTAAGGCTGAAATGAACCAAAGAGGAAGTTGTGCAACAGCAATCATGCATTTCCCCCACTTTAGGCTGGTGGGGTTCAATTTTATTTTTTGTCTAGTCATTTTTGTTTGATGTGCATCCCGGTATTGTGAATGGGCTAGTTCATTCTTATTTTTGAAATAGTTTGATTGAAATAGTTTAAACATGGATAGAACACTATACCAAAACAAGAAGCATTAGAGTACGGGGGTGGGGGGTGGGACATAGAATCAATATACAATAAAGAGGCCTACAACAGATACTAACATGTCATGCATATTCTTATATCACTTATGCCCTTTAAAAAAGGTCAACAAGGAGCCAAAATGTGCATATATTCTCTCCGTAAAGCAATCTGTGGCAATGGCGGCAAAGTCTATCTCCATTTACAGAAAACATAAAAGGTCCCCTGATTCTGTCAAATTTGTCTTTTGTAGCTACCCATCTACATGCACAATATTGATATGCCGAACATTAAGATACAGTCATGTCCTATATTTTGTCTGGGCTAGTTCATTCTTATTCCAACCTGCATACCATACCTGGTTATTGATTTATGTTCAGCTTGAAGGAAAATATTTTCACACTTCTGGCCTGTGCATGAGTGAATGGTTTCCTTGTAGAATCTCCTTACCCTTTACGTGCTGGGGGTACCTCTTTGCCCTTAGCATGAACTTTTTGGATATCTTCCCAAATACAGTACCTTCAGCAAAAAAGGTATAAGGCTTTTATAAACAAAAAAACCCACAATTATTTCCCACAGCTTTTTGCTTTTCTTTTGGTATATTGCAGCTCATAAGAAGTCCCAAAGTTACCTGAAAGAATCTTCTAGTCTAGTCTGTTTTAGTTTTTTAGTTGCCCTCACTGAACTTGGAGACAAAACCATAAAGAAGGGTAAAGAAAAGCAAATGATTATGAGAGGCTGTGAAGGAGCAGAACTTGATATTTTATTGTTATTACAAGAGGTCATGAAACAGTAGGAGGAACCAGATTTTGGAGTGTGGAAAATATCTCCCTGGAGGCACTGGTGACGGAAGGGTAGGTTTAGTTGGGTTGCTTAACCTCATTTTCCTCCCTCAGTGCAGGCCAAAGTCCATTCATTCCATCACAAAGGGGCTTTGGGCACTTCCACTATGGAGGTGATAAGGCAAAATATCAATTTCTATACTAAAATACCTGTGTCCTTATGATTCCTGAAGGAATTCATTTTCTTGCACTAGGATAAAAAACCCCTGAAAAATCAATCACAAGCTTTGGAGATACTGTAACATTGACTGGTTAATTAGGACTGTTTTGCAAGTAACATTCAGAATGTCTGTTGTGGCTTTGCTTTCTTACTTTACTAAGAAGCCGTGCTTTAATACATTGAACAAATACTTCTGGAAGTACTGCTGGTTGTGTAAAAGTAAGTGTAATCCTGTTTATAGCTGCCATAAGATATATAACAACAGAATGTTCTGTCGTGGCGGGAGGGGAAGCAATATACCAGAAATAATCCTTATATCATACAGCACAATACTGCCTCAGGAAACTGGTTTGTAAAAGCAGTAACTCGATGGTGGTAATAATGTTCCATGTATCTCAACTTGGTTGCTATCTTTGCCATCATTATCTTTTTCATAGCCTCCACTGGGAAATATGTTATTAGAAGGGAATTTGTTAGGCTGTACACAAAGCAACCTTAGATTGCTCAGTTCATGGCATGGCGTGGAACAGAAACCTTTTAAAGATGGCTAGGGAAGATTAGATTTATGGACCCAGTTCTTCCACCTCAAACCATTGCACCAGCAGTTTCTGGACCAGGCAACGCAGGATTACAATGTTATTTTCTTGAGTTTGGGCCTCACATGAATATAAAAAAGATGTTGGATTCAACTGGCAAATGCAAACATAGAAGCTAATGTTTATGAAGTTTTACTACAAGTGAAATAAAGTCTTCTAAAAATTGATAAGGAATACAAGAATCCATGTAAACATATGAATGCATATATCCATATACACAGGTCAGTTATTTTAAAAAGTATTTTCAGCAACTGAAGTTGCTTGTGAATGAAAACAGAATACATTGGGGAAATCTTAACACACTTTTTGATTGAGTCTCCATGAAGATAGCACGCTTTAACTGGGAACATCTGTTGAAAATAATTCTTGGCTCAGTTGCCAAAATATCTCTGTATTCCAGGTTCATAAGGATACAGGAAGCTTACTGCCAAACTTGTATGTTTCTATACACTGTAAATAAGCAGGTGGCAAATGATTTGTTTGTTTTTATTGCATAATGACTTATTCTTCCTTATATCTTTGTATTTCTCCCATGTGCCGTTACGGCTCCAACAGTGTGCTATTTGATTCCCCATGGAACCCATTGTTTTCTTTTAAGTTTTTAACATCAAAGTGTAATGTACATATAGATGTAAAACAAACAAGACAATTATAGTAACAAAAGAAACAAGTGTGGGACAACCGGATTTTAAATCAATGACAAGTAGGTTCTATATCTATGACAACTATAGTCCATAATGTTCTGAGGGTGAAGAATGCCCTCAGACTTAGCTATGTGCAGAATCTTGCTTTTATTAATCTAGCTGCCATACGACAAAGAAAAGTATTAACTCTTTCAAAAGAATATTTTGAGAATTATCAAAAACAGACAGCAGTCTTCTGCTATGGCTGACCCAAGCTTTGCGCCAGCTCCATCGTAAAATCAAAATCCGCCTTTTCTCGACTCTTGCGCAAACAAATCACCTCAGAAGGAGCTGTCCTTGGCAGAAATGGCAAGTGTGGAGGCCTGAAACTGCCACCACAGACTGTTTCTGTGAAGCCATCTGAGTTGAGAAAGCTCAATGAAAGTGGTCTTCATTGCTCCTCTTTCCCCACATCTCTTCGAAACCCTTCCCATTTACAGAGCAGCCCTTTTCTTTATGTTGAGACTGCATTAAAAGTGGCCTAAGCAGATTGCTTTCCCTCATGGCAAGCAATCTCTGAAGAGATCTAGAAGTCTTCACAGCTGCAGTAAATCTCTTCACAAAAGAAGTCTGCCCCCTCCCTCGCCCCCCAATTTCATTCTAATTTTGAGCGCTTTAACATGCCTTGACAAAATTCATTATTTCGATAAGTATTTTTTTTAAGATTTAGAGTTACCTAATTTAAACGTGTGAGACAACAGCAGCTAGAATACTATTGGCACAGAAATGGAAAGAAAAGGAGGTTCCAATGAAGGAGGAATGGCTTTTAAAAGTAATGGACTATGTGGAAATGACAAAGCTGACAGCAAAATTAAGAAACCAAAATGATGAACTTTTTAAATAGAAGAGTGGAGGCCTTTTGTGGACTGTTTGAAAAAGTATTATAATCAAAGGAAATTGCTGGCAGAATTCAAGATACGAGCAGCGAAATAAAAATGATAAAATAATTGTACAGTGCCACCTCGGCTTAAGAACTTAATTCATTCCGGAGATCCGTTCTTAACCTGAAACCGTTCTTAACCTGAGGTACCACTTTAGCTAATGGGGACTCACTCATCCTGAAGCAAAGTTCTTAACCTGAGGTACTATTTCTGAGTTAGCGGAGTCTGTAAGCTGAAGCGTCTGTAACCCGAGGTGCCACTGTATTAGAGGGATTTTTGTAATAGGAGCTTGATATATAAGAATTCGAATAAAAACACTGTGGGGGTGGGGGTGGGAAGTCAAATCTATAAAACAAGTTATGTAATTGTTTGATTTGAAGTTAACTTGTGAAACACACACACACATCTACGGTATATATATATATATATATATATATAGTTAAGTCAAATAATTACATAACTTCTTTGTTTCATAGATTGGACTTCATAGATTTGTTTCATCAATTTTGATATATATCTATATCTTTATATTGATATCTATGTCTATATCATCTATATCTATATCTATATCTATATCTATATCTATATCTATATCTATCTATATATGAAAAGAAAAGCTATTCTGCCATCTTGTGGTGTTGATGTCTCCCCTGGCATTCATGCTGATTGATTGGCTCCCCAATAAACCAACATCACCTCTAAGTATATCAGTCATGTCACCAGTATTAACCTGGACTGGTATCTTTCCAAATTGTACAATACACTGAAGCAGATTCTTGCCTACACACAGATGGGTTCCTCTCACAGGTGTACTTCTAGTTCATTCTCCTTTGCAATATCATGGAGCGCTTCCCATAGACTTTTTCTTATGATTGCAGCAACTGTTTCTCCTTTGTGAGTTCAGTAACATCACTAGTCTTTCACTTCAAGTCTTGGTAGGTGCACAGTGAGTACTGTTCCGTTGTACTCTGCCATTTGCTGGTTTTGGACAATCAGCTTCTGAACATTTGCTGTTTTCTTTCACACTTGGAAAACCTTGCAGCAATAGTGGCACCAAGCCAATATTTCACAACTGATTTTAACAATACCACCTGGCAATGGTTGATTTTGGAATATATTTGCCAAATACAAAGCACCTGCTATTTTACATATATGAGCAGACACACCCTTCCTCACTATGGCTAATGCTATGTTGTCCAAATTAAACCCATTTGTGCTGTCAACAATCTTGTACTTTTGATTGTTGCAATACACTATGCAGAATATTTCTAAGACTGAATCAAGGGCACATGTATTTGTTACTATTGTTTATGTCTTGTTTGCTGTTGCCATTTTTCAGGAGACCAATGGATAGTACAGATTTGGCATGGCTGAGGTCCATGTGCTACCACTGTGACTCTGTCTGTAGGTAAGAAAAGCTTTTGCTTATCTTGTCCTCAACAGCCACTCTCTGGTTCTCATTCTCCTTCAGCTCTGTTATGCGGCGTATCCAAGTTTCTTCTGCTGGGATGGTTCCATTAAATTCTTTGGTTATACACAGACTGACTTTACCACTTCTGGCATCCACAGGTCACCTCCTTGTCATCATTCCCAGAAATTGGACTTAGTACATTATTTGCATTCCTTACCTGGGTAGTGCTACTGAATCTTCTTTTCACCTACTATTAGATTCAGAAGCTGAACTACTATCTAGCATATTATCATAGCCCATATTAAAATCTCCTGCTGCAATAATTTCCCCTTTAGTGAAAGAATTAAGTTTTTTTCAATGTCTTTGCCATAAAGGAATATTGGTTTGATTTGGGACCATAAATAGATGCCAGAGTTAACTGTTTATCATCATATTGGCTGAAACAAAAATAAACCTGCCTTGTGGATCTTGTTTAACACCTTGGGGTTTTTTGAAGAAAGAGGACCTTCAACTCTTTAACTAGTTAGAGACCCTCCACTATTATAACATCCCTCAGACCCCTCACATTTAATGTAAGCAATTTAATATCTCCTGTGGATTCAAGGGGAATTTTTTTGGGATAGCATCTCTGAACCGAGCGGTGCAAAGCGTCTATAAGTCTCCCATAGCACAGCAGCAAGAAACAGAACAAAAATGAGAATCATAACCCAGTAACCCCCCTCCACTAACCCCCATACCCTTTCCAAGTCCACTGTGGGAGTAACCAGAAATTAGCAGCTCTGTAGAAATACCACAAGGGGATTCCACCATCAATGGACCTGCAAATTGTGAGGAGAACAAATGCCTAGGCATGCCTTTTACAGCCATGACTGTAACATAGGCTCCAAGAGTACCATTTCTGCATCCCAACCCTGCAAGCTATAAACAGTAATACTCTGAAAAGTTAAAGGGATTAAATAAGGTACGCTAAATCTTACTGCGCCAGTAAATCAGGCAATATTGCAATAAGTAAAGAATGAAACGTATCATGCAAACACAATCTTGAACTGTGGTGCAGCAAATGTTTTTCAGCATTTCCTGTAAAAGTATGGATGTATGAATCTTGATAATGCAGATGTTTTTAGTTTCGGCAGTTTTGGTCTATTTATCCTGTGTTAGAGATTTTGTGGTTGCCATTCATCCCAGGTGCATACGTAAAGGCAGATCTTCTGCATCTTCCTCGATCAATTATTATTCTAAAGGAGAGAGTGATTCGGTAAAGATAATATTATGAAACAGTTTTGTCTTGTCAGTTGCTTTATGTATTATGCCATCCATGTTTGTGATTAACATGAAGGGGAAGCCCTGGAAGCTGGCTTGAATGTGTGGCTTTGTTCAAAATCTCAGCACTAAGGTCATTCAGAAAAAGAACACAGCATCCTATTTCCACTGGACCTTTTCCCCTGATTGCTTTCATCAGAGCATCTCTCTGAGCCAGTGTGGTGTAGTGGTTAAGAACAGTGGACTCGTAATCTGGTGAACCGGGTTCGATTCCCTGCTCCTCCACATGCAGCTGCTGGGTGACCTTGGGCGAGTCACACTTCTCTGAAGTCTCTCAGCCTCACTCATCTCACAGAGTGTTTGTTTGGGGGGGAGGAAGGGAAAGGAGATTGTTAGCTGCTTTGAGACTCCTTAGGGTAGTGATAAAGCAGGATATCAAATCAAAAATCTTCTCTTCTTCTGGGAGGAATTAGTAAACGCAATAGCCATATCTCTTGTGAGAGTGCGGAATCAACTCAAGGGCCTCTCCCGCTGTTTTTCTCCTTATTGTTGGTATCTATTAATTTTTATTTTTTCAGTTCTAAGGTAGAAAACTCATCTTGCAATTTTTGAATAAGCTCTGCATGGAAGCTTTCGATCCATACAGTCTAGGGATAGGGCTGGACATGTTGAGGCTTTTCCTCCGCTGGAGTTAGGCTTGCTATTAGGCACCATTACACATTTCCCACCTTCCCCAGGGCCCACAAACTTTGGGGCAAAGTAAGTTTTAATATTGCACAGAGAGCAAAATTTTTAACTTAAAAGTTGTCTCTGAACCATTGCCTTCTAAAGTGTTCTGTTTGGGTGCAGAATTGAGCCCTATAGAATTGTGGAGGGTGATTTTTTTAAAAAAAAAGGCTTATGGAGATACCTGTCTCAAGCCACCGCCTCCGTTGTCACGCACATGTGCCCCCCCTCCAAATTTGCTTTTCTCTTGAAGCGCTATGATAACAGGACTTTTTAGTGTCTAGTGAAAAGACCTTCGTCTGCCAACAAAGCTTTTAGGTAGAGACCTTCCCAAGTTTGCATCTGCATTGAAATTGGTTTTAGATGTTTTAATTGTTTTACCTATTTTGTGTTTATTGTCCTGAGCTCCTTCTGGAAGAAGGGTGGAATATAATATAATAAAATAAAATTAAGTTAAGTAATAATAATAATATTAACAGTTACAGAGAGAGTGGTCCTGTATCTTATTATGCAGGGTTGGTAAAGCCTCTGTTTCTGTCATAAATTGAATCATGGTCATCTTTGAGAAATAATATGGTTGGCTGTGATGCTGAAACTAACTATAACCAGGCCTGCCATGACATTAAATTGGATCATACTTTAAAAAAATAAAAAAAAAAGTTACAATCAGTTAATGAGCTTCTTCTGAATGAGAAACAAGTACAGACCTTAGTAAAGAAATAGCAGGCAGCTGCTCTCCACCTAAGAATGAGAGAAGTGGAGACATATGCAGTTGGCCCTTGATGTGAAAATGGCACTGCTGTAAGTACACAAGATTATCCCTGTTTTCACCCGTGAACTACTGGAGGATATGATTTGAAAGTACTCAAGCAATAAGAGCTAAGATTAGCCTTGCTGAACCAGAGCCATGATTTCATCTCTTAAAAGAGATGTCTTTTTAGCCATCCTCATGATCCTGGACATTACATATACAAGTCACAAAAGACTTAAAGCCTTTGTGCTGGGCCCAGGGGTAACCCGTGAAGCGCAGTCCAGGACCGGTCCAGAATCCAAAGGTTCCGCTAGGAGTCAGTCCGACAGGGCCAAGGCAGGACACGAGGCAGGAAACAAGGCAAGGACAGGGGCAGGGAGCAGGGAGCAGGGTCCGACAGCCTTTTATCTTTGTTGGGGTAGCGGCCGGTCCTGATCCCCCGGCGACTCACCTCCCCATTTCACCCAAAAGCGAGCACTCCTCCTGCGAGTACTCAGGTCTCTCCTTCTCTCAGACCTTAGTCTCTGCAGCTCGGGAGACATCAGTGGGTTACTAGACAAAGGGGCCGCCTCAGCCTCCCCTGACCAAACCGGTAGTGGAGCAGCTGTAAGTGATGGCCCAGCTGGAAGGCAACGAGGTAATCCCCGCATCTGTAGCCAGGGCAGGCTCAGGCCCCTGACTCGGCCCAGCTGGTGTTTGTTGCAGGGGAACCTGTGCAGACTGGGACTCTTCAGGATCAGGCCCCAGACTTGGTTCAGATGATGCCTGAGGCAAAGGATCCGGTGCAGACTGAGTCCCTCTGGTTCGGAGTCCGAGCCCGAGTCCCAGGCCATCACAGCCTTTTCTTTCCCAATGTATACTACTTTATTATTTTTTAATCCCATAAAATGCAAACCGCATAGATTTTACTTAGGAGAGTAGACAGTGGAATAGAACTAGTAGGAAGCTTTCGGTGTGGTGACCCAGTACTTGAAAGCTTCCATAAATCATAACTAGTATATTAATAATCCTGCAGCCAGGTGCCAGACACTTTGATTCCATCATACCAATTTTACCCAATTTGAACTGGCTGCAAGTTTGTTTCCAGGCTCCATTCAAGGTGCTGGTGTTCACTGTGAAAGCACTAGTACAGCCCTGTGGCCATGCTGGGAAGCAGCGTTTCTTGGTGACTGGCAAAGAAGAATATTACTCTGTGCAAAGTGAGAATTAACTTACATAATGGGTTATATAAAAGCTGAGTTAACAGAACACTCATTGTGAACATCAGGAATTAAATGAGATGCATGCTTTATGCTTCATCAGAAACAAGGGTGTTAAGTACAGAATATCAGAAGGTGTAATAAAACAAAATAGCTTATGGCATAACTAGGAAGTGATAGAACAGTGGGATCTGCTTTCTCAGAAACTCAGTTTTAATCTTGTAAAACGCACAACACCAGTGCAAAACAACAACAGGTAAAGAAACAGAATAAAAACACATTAAAGGATGCAACCAAAGGTGATTTTTAAGGGAGAGGTTGTGAGAACAATATACATAACTTTCTTGAAGTCCATGAGATTAATGTCCTTAATTTTGTAAAATATTTGAGAAACATGCAAATGAACCCTTTCTAGATAATAGGCTCACAATACACTTTTTCAAAAGGGGGGGGGGATACATTAATGTAAGTTTGTCAAAATAACAGTTTAGCTGTCCTTTCTTTTTCAAATGGAAGAAAAACCGTATGTAGGGAAGCTTTTAATGTTCGATGCTTTACTGTATTTTAATATTTTGTTGGAAGCCGCCCAGAGTGGCTGGGGAAGCCCAGCCAGATGGGCGGGGTATAAATAATAAATTATTATTATAGTATTATTATTTGCTAAACACTAAAAGTCTCTGCAGCTGGTCTGGGTTAAAGAAAATGGTGAGTCACAGATGGTCGTGCTGTAGGCAAAAGCCTTTTCAGTAGCCAGAAGTTGATATGTATCTGCAAATGCCACTCTTTGCTTGTAGATTTTTTGAAACATTTGTTTTCATAAGACATTTTTGGCCAGAGAAAACTCATATTTTGTCAGGAGTAGGGTTCCTGGGGAACTAAGTGGGTTTGTTTCCTCAAAATCCAAGTCAGCAACAGATGCCACTGCAATGATTATTTCATTATTTTCAGAAAATCTCCTGTTTATTTCAATAAATACAGTATCAATGACTTCAAAATATATTATTTCCACTTGTTGACTTTGGCTCACTTTTTCCACTAGGGTTTTTGTTAAAACATATTTCTGTAGTGTTGCATTTCTGTTGAACTAGGACTTGCGCACTCCAGTTTTTGCCACTTGCAACACTTGCCTCGTTACATTGGCCTAACAATTTGGATGAGTCTAGAGTGTTCAAGTGGTTTCAGTCTCAGCTCTGTAAAGCATGCAGCACCGAAAGTGATACATAACTGTTCTGTGAGCCTTTGCATTTTTCACATATCAAGATTTCTAAAAGCAACTTAGGATATTTTAGAAGCATATCTGAAGCATTCGTTTTGTGCCATGTCCTCCCAGAGACTCCAAAGGCACACTCCATTGTCTCCCGAGACAGACAAGTGCCAACAATATCTCTCAAAGAACTTGTGCCATGAATATCTGCAAGTTCATTCTGAGTTTCCAGAGACCCATCATTTTTTTCCTATGGGAATTTCAATCAGTTTTTCATTTTTTTAGGGTATATACAAATTTGCAAATATAGTTCTGTGTACAAAACACCTGAGTCCTTTACTTACCGTAGTTGGCAATATGCATAGTTCTGAGCAGACTGATGCAGTGTCCACCGAAATCTGCAATTGGCAGCTGTATTTCCCACAAAAAGTCTGCTGCTCAAGATCAGAGCATGGAGCTGAAAAACTTGATTCCTCCAGCTGGTTTTGCATGATATGTCTAATATAAGCGATATCGCACCAGGGACAACTCTTGGCAATGGCATCCAGAACTGTCACCATATCAGAAGTTGCGGCACTGAACCGACACTGAGACCTGTGCTCTTGACTTCAGGCTCTCAAGTTCATTTTTCATGCAAATCCCCTGGCATTTCACTGAGTGCCATGCATGTAAAATGAGTAAAAGTGTTTCTAGACACTTTGTACATAACTTTTTTTTAAAAAAAAGCATACCAAATAATGTAATGATCGGCTCTTCTGTTAGCCCTTTATTTTCTTCTATCCACAGGACAGATATAAGAGGAAAAGAGCTCTACATTTTCGGTGCTTTCATTGCTGCTCTGAACTATAAATGGGATGGCATTTTGGAAATGCCACCCTCATCTTAGCTAGTCGAACCAATTACTGATGGAAAAGATTACCTACAAAATAGGACAAGGAGGTAAGATGGCCCAGCCATTAACCATACGTTAACTTTAAAGGCATGTAGCTATTAGGACTCTGCTTTTGTAATGACGTCAGTTCAATTATTTTTGCAGTGTGGGATATAAAAAATAACTCTCTTTTTTATGTAGTGCCAAATACAAGCTGTCATTCAGATGATTATTGGATTTCGGGACATCTCGTTTCCCCCCTTGCTATCTTAAAGGGGACTGACAGGAAATGGGGACCTTTTTTCCCCATTGGCACATCTTTTCTTTTCTATTTCCCCTCCACTTCTTCTCAGGATCCTAACAAGTGCCTCAGATGTGTTAGGTTGTGAGACTATGATTGCTCCAACTTAATCAGTACCCAGCAGAGATTTGAACATGGGTTTGCCACCTAAAATAATCTAATCACTACACCATATTCTTCTCCTTGTGTTTTTTCCTGTTATAACGCAAATCCCAAAAAAATCAGCCAAGATTCACAGGAAGGTTGATATTCAAACAGCTAATGAAGATTGTATAGGGGGTGTCCACTAGCCCCATAATATGCCCATCAGTATCACACATCAGAGAGGGGTGGCAAGTGACAGGATGAAGGTTGAATTGGAAGACTATGTTTCTGCCTTCAAACACATTGTTTTGCTTTGTTTTTATCTATTACCCACCTTCCCCCCTGTGTGATGGCCTGGGAATCTGATTCAGAGGCTGAACCGGAGGAATCCCAGCCTGCTCCAGGGCCGGCTGAGCCAGGGCAGGGCCTTGAATCTGAAGCACCTGCACCTGTGCCGGATCCTCAGGAGCAGACACCAGATGAATCCACTCTGGCTCCGGAGGTGATTGAGGACCCATTGCCTACAGGTGCGCCTCTCCCAGCCTTGTCAGGGGAAGGTGAGCCTCCCCCTGGGTCCAGTAACCCTCCCGCCTCTCCTGAGCTGCAGAGGCTCAGGGTAGAGAGGCGGAGGGAACTGGGTTCTCTCAGGAGGAGTGTTCGCCTTAAGGCCAGGAGAGGCGGGTCACCTGTGGGCTGGGACCGCCCCTGGCCTCAGAGAAGATAAAGGCCAGTCAGCCCGGTCCCAGGTTGTGGCAGCAACGTCGTTGGAAACCTGTTTCTGCCAGTACCCAGACCTGTTCTTCCAGAGTTCCCGACCTTGCCCGGCTCCTTGCTTTGGACCCCGCTTCGCCCTTGGACAGTCTCCAGACCCTCGACCCAGGACCTGACTCTGACCACGCCTCACGGTAACCTCCCCCCGGACCAGCACACCCTGGTTTTAATACAACACTGAAAACAATTTTAAACAACTTACAACCACAAAATAGGGTGAGTCCTAAATATATATGTCTCAAGTATCAAAGGCCAGATAATGCATTTGCCGGCATTTGCCAGAAACTATAGTGCAGTTACTAGATGTGCCATTTGGACTGTACAAAGTGCAATGCACACAAACTGCTTGGAACTAGCTTCCTGGCAGACTGCTACCTCCTAAATTGATGATTAGAGCACTTGTTTTTAAATGGAAGGTTGTTAAGTCAAACTATAAAATCTACAACATATTCTCCACTATTGAGAGACGGGTAAAAAAAAATCAAGGTGCCACTGACTTCTAAAAATTGGTCCTTATAACAGTTACCAAGGTTGCAGGTTTATCCTCCTGTGTCTTCTGCAGGGTGTATGATCTTCCTATTGCCTCTTATTACTTCCTTCTTCCTTGCTAGCTGTTACTCATTGGAGACAGAGCTCCAAGGTCATAGGACACATTTTTCAAGTAGATTTGAGGCCTGGCAAATAAGCCTGACTAGAAGAAACTGAGAGGATCAGATAAGACCAGAAAGAATAACCTGAATTAGCAACCTTCATGGTACCATCTATCCCACCTTCCCAGCTGGCAACCAGAAAATTTGTCCGACTCCTAAACATTTGCATAATGTCACAAAACTACATCGTTACTGGGCATTTTTAGATAGCACTTTTCTTGGCTGGATGCTGTAATTCACTCTGGTGACCACTGGAGGACCATAATCAGCTGAAGCACATCCTGTGCGTCATGATGACTATGGGAACTGAAATGGTTGAAATTCAGTCACCTGCCTGGATATGTGCCACAAACAGTCTTCGTAAATCAGAAAGACCATTGGAGTATAACGTGGAACAGAACACGCATGAAAACCAAAGAGAATGTTGCAATCCAAAATAAAGGTTCCTATCGAGTTCATACTGTTCACATACCATCCTGTTGTGGAAGCCATTGTCTCAGTCCAGATATGCAAACCATTTTGTGCACCTCATCAAGATATTTGTTTTGTGTCCTGAATAGTTACCACTCAAGGTGTATTGCAAGCTGCTTCTGGATTTATTTGCTTGCTCATTTTAATTTCTAAGACGCGGGTGGCGCTGTGGGTTAAACCACAGAGCCTAGGGCTTGCTGATCAGAAAGTCGGCAGTTCGAATCACTGTGACAGGGTGAGCTCCTGTTGCTAAGTCCCTGCTCTTGCCAACCTAGCAGTTCGAAAGCACGAAGTGCAAGTAGATAAATAGGTACCGTTCTGGCGGGAAGGTAAACGGCGTTACCACATGACCCGGAAGTTATACGCCGGCTCCGTTGGCCAGTAAAGCAAGATGAGCACCACAACCCCAGAGTCGTCCGCGACTGGACCTAACAGTCAGGGGTCCCTTTACCTTTAATTTCAAAGGTGATGAGCTCCAGGCCTCAGACGACTCTAGTGCACCTCCCCAAGGCTCCACACTGGAGCAGCTAAATCTCAAACTTCTTCGTCACTTCTTAAATAAAGGACTCCTGGCATTCACTAGCCTAGAGTCAGTCTAGTAATCTACCCCCCAGTGAGTCCACGGAGGATTTCAGCACATGGCTTGGAAATTTAAGCTGCATTCTCTCAGCCATTATTTCCCCAGTGCCTTCTCTTGGATAGTGTTCTTTAAGAAGCTTTAGTGCGCATCTGCTGCAAACAAGGCTTTGGATGCCTGCATTTCAAATCTTCCAAACTTCTCACCCACACGTCCATCTTCATTTGCCAAATTGGCGTTAACGCACTCTTCCCCTCTTGCTGTGAGAAGCAGCTTTTCTCTGTTGAAGCAGACCGTGGCACAGAGGTGATGTCACTTGTGGCCACGGGGTGCCCACTTCTAACAATCCCAGTGATCCTGTCTCGCTGCGGTCATTAGATGTCCTGTCGCATTTTTCTTTCCACCCCCGCCACCGAGTGCTGTGTACCTACTTCGTTGTTCTTGGCAGGCCATGGCACTGATTCATATGCCTCCTACCTCCTTTCCTATACAAACACCCGGGCAAGTAGGTGCCACGCAACGTGTCAGGCTGACAGTTCTGTGGGAAACGACTCTCCAAATGAATCCCAGTGAGGTGGGAAAATGGCACCGTGCCCTGCCTGCATTGCAAATTCTAAATGCACCAGGTCTCCAGTGGCTTGTTCCTTCATTATTCCATACTCGAGAATTGAGCAGCTTTCTAAATAGGAAAAAAAAAAAGACAATGTTCTTGGCCAGTGAAAAGGAAAACACTCCCCAACCCTGCCCAGCTTCTAATAAGGATGCCCAAGCAAGAACTGAACGGATTGCCCACAGAGAAACCTTTAGTTCTCTCTTCTAATATCTTATTCCCTCATTTGTCTCTTATGCTCAGTGCATCTTGGATCATTACCTGGTCCATGCTAGTCTAGCAGTTCATGAATGTGTTACTACAATAAGCTGTGTTGCTCTGCACTCGAGTACCCAGGGCTACTCAAGCAGATGGGCAATTATCAGTGGCAATCTCTATCCCTAGACAGAACATCCCTCTCTGTGCCCAGGGCTGTGTTTCAAAGGAACACTTGCCCTTTTTTTTTCCATTATTGCCACAAGCAAACATTTTCTTAAACAAGCTTTTTATGAATCAGCGAACCGTTTAACTGCCAATAGAATTAGCTTGGGATTTTTTGCTATCGCAACAGCGCAGAATGAATATCAAGAACACGCTTGAGAGACGTACAAGCTTTCTCTTGGCAGTGTTTAACAGTTTAAATAGTTTCAGCCACATGGAAACACTGGAGTAGGATATCTAATGGAGGCAGGGATAAAGAAAAACTCCAAATAAGGGTTTATTGTAGGTGAAGAGGTCAAACAACATAAGAACATAGTGGGATCAGGCCAAGGGCCCAACTAGTCCAGCATCCTATTTGCAATAGTAGAGAGACAGACAGAGGAGGCACCCCCATTCAACGGCCTAGCTTTGCTCCCAGCCTCTAGGGGCAGAGATGGACCAGCAGCAAAGCTCTGCGGAACGCCTCCCTCCTCCTGAGTACCACCACCCAGCTTTGCCACTAAGCAGGAGGGGGAGAGCTTTTCCCCTACCTGGCAGTGTGGTGGGGAGTTTGTCCACCCACCGTAGGGGGTGGCAGCAGGGATTTTTGCCTCAGGTGCCAAAAATGCTTCAGGCTGCCCCTGTAAAGAGAGAGTGAGAGCACACACATATCATTCCTCACCCAGCTACCAGAAACACCTTCAGTTGAGCACAGGCGAAGACACGGTTTAAACACCCCAACAGCCAGCTAAATTCATTGCCCCACATCATACCTCCACAGAAGACACCCTGCATCCCTGATTCTGGTAGCTGACAGAGCCCTGTAAACTCACCTTGCTCATTCTCTCTGCCTCTCAAAAACAAGGAGGGCCATAGCCTAACCAGCAGGGCTGTAGTTTAATCTATATGAGGTCCTTGGTTCAATCCCCAGCATCCCTAGGTAGGAGTGGGAAAGACTCATTTGAAACTTTGGAGAGCTGCTGCCTAGAAAAATCTAGATGGACCAGTGGTCTGATTTGGTATAAAGGAGCATCCTATGCTCCTAAAATCTGCAGTCTGTCTCCTTTGTTGCCTTTCACAGATACACAAATCTAGATCACATCCTCTTCAGCTGGAAGGTGGAAAAGGTATACAGTGGTACCTCGGATTAAGTACTTAATTCGTTCTGGAGGTCCGTTCTTAACCTGAAGCACCACTTTAACTAATGGGGCCTCCTGCTGCTGCCGCACCGCCGGAGCACGATTTCTGTTCTCATCCTGAAGCAAAGTTCTTAACCCGAGGTACTATTTCTGGGTTAGCGGAGTCTGTAACCTGAAGCGTATGTAACCCGAGGTACCACTGTACACATAACAACCTTTCTGCGACCTTCCAGATAATTCCTAGCCATTCAGAAAGCATCAGCTGACTGTTTTGCCAGTGATCTTCTTAACAAAAGAAAATTGTAAGATATAGTCAGCAGGGTTGGCCAAGTTTATGCACTCCTCCTGGCTTCGTTAACCTTCTGCTGTTCAAACACCCAATCTTACAACAATACTATGATCAATGATATTGAAAGCCACCAAGAGGTCCAGGAGCATCTGAAGAGTCAGTTCCGTTGACCTCAGGGAGTCAATATCAACCACTTTGGGACACCCTGATGCACCGAGTACAAATGTAACATACAACTTTATGTGAGCAAAGAATAGGAAGGGAAAGAGTGCAATAAAAATCAGAGTAAGAACAACACAAGTATGTTTGCAGCAAGTTCTGAAAATCATTGAAATGGGAAATACACTTCCAAAAAAACCCAAACTCAGTGAATGGTTTGTGTTTAGCTCTAGTGTGAAGAGAAGTCAGAGCAAGGAGCACTTAACACCATTGTAATTCCATAGAAAGCAACTTGATTATTTCAAACCTAGTTTTAAAAACTTTGTTGAGTACTTATTTATATCCTGAAAGGAACCTCATTGTATAGGTGTTTATTTCTTGTTTGGAGAATGAACTTGAAGTTATCCACTTATCCATACACAACCCTGGGCAGCTTTTAAGAAAACGGTATCTACCAGATAAGTGTAATTTAAAGAAAATAATCATAAGCACTTCATTTTATATCTTTGCACAATAGCCATTTATAGTAAATTACTGCAGAGCCACAAAAACAGAACTCTTGTGACCTTTTCTTCCAGCAGATAATCTGCACTGGTAAAGCGAGATTGCTTGTCGCAGGGATAAATAGCATATGTCACTTACCCATTTTAGGAGAACATATGCGGAAAGGGCATTCTGAAATTTCTATCATCTGTGGGGGAAATACTGCATGATTCTGTCATTGCAACACAGCTGATACATTTGTTTGGTGTTTGTTTATTGGCTATCCTCCCATATTTAATATTTCTTCTTTTGAATATCTTGTAGTATATTTGAATTCCATAGACATCAGATTCTAGGCTCAGTAGTTTCCACCTTTCTAAGTGTTGGCAATACAGCCAGGATCCTTCTTGTGTGGTGGAACACTATGCATGCATACAAAATATATATACAAATGGTTGTGGACACTGGACATGCTAGTGGTGAGGAGCTGGTGGCCAGCAGCATCCTTCACACAGACACTGAAAACACCTTATACTGACTCCAGACTTACAGGAACATAGCCAGTGGCCTTATACTGCATCAGACTATTGGTCCATCTAGCTCAGAATTATCTACACTGATGGCAATGGCTCTCCAGGGTTTCAAACACAGTTTCAAGGTTTCAGGAGTCTCTTCCCAGCCCTACCTGGAGGTGCCAAGGATTGAGACTCAAACCCTTTGCATGCAAGGCAGATACTCTACCATTGAGCTACAGTTCTTCCCAAAAAGTTCTTCTTTAAAAAGCTATATCAGCACGCCATCCAAATGGGCAAGCATTCATGTTACATAGGAATTTTCCGCAGTGCTGTTCTTATGCTCTGGCTGGCTCATTGCAGATTTTTGAACAAATGTAGGTGCAGGATAAAAGCTGTAGTGACCACAGTTGACCATCCCAATATTTGTGATGATATCTCAGTTCTTCGTAGTGGTTTTTCTGTTCTGATTTGTGAACAGTATGGAACACCTGCAAATTCACAGCAGATTGTTGCAAAAACAAAAGAAAAACTATAACCAGCTAAAAGACAATAATACTGCTACTTGCTTTCTTCCATTAGAAGCCCATTCCCAGTTTCCAGATAGCACAACTGCTAATTATGTAATCTGTTTACTGAAGAATAAGAAAGGAAACTGCAAACTAGAAAATCAGATTCTAATTATTTCCCCATCGCCACCCTGAATCTATGATATCAGCAAAACAAACCTGTTGTGAATTTCAGCTCTATGCACAGACTCAGAATTACTTTGCCTGTCATCCCTGGAGCATGAAAGCAGAAGACTTCACACACACGAGAGAGAGCAAACACACAGAGCAAACACATATACAGTTGTTTACTCACAGCAAAGAAAAATCTGGCTGACAGTTTTGCTATTCCTTTTTTCCATATCACTCATATACATGAGACGCAAGCAATCATATGTTTTGCTATAATACTCAAACCATAGGCAAATGAGCATTGCCATTAACACACTTGCCTGTCTCACTCACATTGCTAATTATTACCTGTACTGTGTGATGGTTGGGAGTTCCCTTTTTAGTGTTCTCACTCCTGAAGAGATCAAGGTAGCTTTTTGATGGCTTCCCCAATTCAATTGCCCCAGTTTGTTTGTGTTAAACTATCTTCCTATAGGTTCTCTCTCTGCATATAGAATCACTTCTATAGAGTCTTAGGACTCTCTCCAGGTCACAAACCCTCCTCTGTCATAGCCTCAGACTGTACCTCTAGACCCACCTTGGGGGTTTTTGCTTGACTGGAATGTATCCTGATAAAGAAAGGGGTGTGACTGTGTGTAAAAACTAGCCTACTACACAAAAGTGCACTTTTGCCTCTGACCTACCCAGCACTGCCATATGGCCCCTGGAAAGTTTCCCAGAAGGGAATGTGGCCCTCAAACTTTAAAAGGTCCTCTACCCCTGATCTACATAAAGAGAACTAATTGTCTCTACACCAAACTAAAATTATTTAAGAGAAAGGGAGCTATAGAATTAACATCTAGGCAGAAATAGCTCACATAGTTTAGCTGTCTTTTGCCAAATGGTTATAAAATTGTATGTGAATTAGCCCTAAATGAATTAAGTGAACCAAATGGACTAAATCCTAAATGAGCCAGTCCTAAATGAGCACATGTAATTACAACATCATCCATTATAATATCAAACTTGGTGGCCGCTTGCCAAACAGCAGAGTAGTCAAAACAGGAGAACAAGACAAAGAAGGGTTTTCTGCATACCCGTGACACTCCCCAGTTATGAAGGGAAACATTAGCTTGTAAAAAGGAAGAAGGACTCCCCAAAAATGCTTTATAAAAAAACCTATTTGCAGGTGCAAAGACTCGTTTGCTACACAAGCAGCTGCGGCGGAATACAGCCACTGCACTGCCCTCTGAACTGAGGTGGCCGTATGGGGTGCTAGGACTAGGAGGGGGCAGAGCAGAGATGAGGTCAGGGGAAGCACCAGGTTTGCAGTGGTGACAGGTACAGGTGTGCATCCACTCAGGCTTACCTCTGCAAGCATGGTACTTCACCCGCCCTTACCACCACTCTGTCCTGTGCCCCCTTAGTCCCAGTGGCCGGCAGCACTGCCACAGGGTGGTGCAGTGGTTGTGTACCACCTCATGTGTGGTGACTGGGGAAAAGGAAGCATCTGGAAGCACCTTAACATTGCAGTCCTAACCATGCCTACTTGTGAATATGTACTGTTTAAGTCAGTGGATAACATTTGCTCTATTGCTCTCCTTGTTTTAAGGGCAGGATTGCAGTGCCTCCTATCTCATTTGTCAGTCTTGCACTTCCATAGATTGATGAGAAACAAGCTAGCAACTCTTGTCCCACAATGTTACTGCAGCCAAAAACAGAAGAAACACTTATCTAACTAATCCCTATTTCCAAATTATGAATCATTGATTCCATACTTTGTAGGTAGTTGTTGTAGCTTGGGGCTCCACACATTAGAATTTGCAAATAGTCTTTAAACTGCTTCTTAAAATATAAAACAAGATACCTGCTGTTTGATTGCATCGTTACAGCATTGAGGGGCTCAGATTAGCTGTTAATGCTCACTAGAAAGCATGTATTGCATCTTTGAGGATACAGGGTTTCTGTCCCATTAAATTAAGGAGCGTGTGTCATACAAATTGCCTTCCCTCCTAATTCTGCTTGGGTTTTCTTGTCTATTAAGAACATTCCAAGAAGCAACTGTGTTGTAAAAACAAAAGTAAAGAACTTTAGGTCCCAAGAAGTCTTAGATTTCATGATCATTTTGCCTTAATGCATTTCATAACTGAGGTCATGTAGAAGAGAAGCTAGAAAATAACCAGGTAGCTAAGGCTACAGTCCTGTACTCATGTGGAAGTAAGTCCAATTAAACTCAGTAGAGGTACCCAGAGAATCAGACTGGTCTAGTTTTACTGAGTGACTTTAAGTTGCTGAGGCCTGAGGATATAAACAAGGTGTCTGACCATGTATAGTCCACCACCTGTCTGCTTGACCCTTTGCCTCCACATCTAACAAGAAGAGGAAGTCCAGCAGGTTGTAAATTCCTCCTTGGAAAAGGGGGTGGTTATTAGGCCACTCATGAAGAAACTTAACCTGGATCTGAAAGATGTAAACAACTATAGGCTGGTTGCCAACAGCCCAGTGTTACACACTGAGATATGAAAGCTAGGAGCTAAATGGCACCTTAAACCTAGGTTATAGGTGCAACAACAGAATGTCTAGGCACACTTTTTTTATAACAAGAATACAAAGCTGAAAATGAATGAACTGCAGCTAAAATATTATGTTCATTTTTCACATTATCTAGTCCTTCCCCTGCCCACCCCCTAATACTCTTAAGAGTGTCTCTTCTCCAGTCTCCAGACTGGCTGGAAGTTGGGGAGGCAGAAAAAGGTCCTCCTTTGCTGCCACTCTGCAGTTTTAATCTGAAATCTTAGGCGCAGTACTGGGCCCAGAGCTCAGAAACTGCTCATGCTGACGAAATTCCCTGTCACAAAATGTGCCTAGAACAATGGAAGTTTCAAACACTGCAGCAGTGCCCTCCTGGGCAAGGTGCTCAAGCAAGTAGTTTTGGATTGAACTCTTTTTCTAGATCCACTTCAATTACAGTGGTGCCTCGCAAGACGAAAAGAATCCGTTCTGTGAGTCTCTTCGTCTAGCGGTTTTTTCGTCTTGCGAAGCAAGCCCATTGACGGATTAGCGGATTAGCGCTATTAGCGGCTTTTAGCGGCTTATCAGCTTATCGGATAAGCAGATAAGCGGCTTAGCGGCTTAGAAAAGGGGGGGGAAGGGGGGAAAAACCGCAGGAACTCGCAAGACATTTTCGTCTTGCGAAGCAAGCCCATAGGAGCTTCGTTTTGCGAAGCACCTCCAAAACGGAAAACTCTTTCGTCTAGCGAGTTTTCCGTCTTGCGAGGCATTCGTCTTGCGGGGCACCACTGTACGCTTCAGTCCTGGTTTAGTAATGGAAACTTTCATGTTCACCCTGTGGGACCTTTCCCAAGAGACGGATAAGGAAAGTGTGATCCTGTCAGTAGTCAGGTACTTCTCGGCAAATTTCAAAACCGTTTACAGTGGTACCTCGGATTAAGAACTTAATTCGTTCTGGAGGTCCGTTCTTAACCTGACACTGTTCTTAACCTGAGGTACCACTTTAGCTAATGGGGCCTCCTGCTGCCGCCACACCGCCACTGTGCGATTTCTGTTCTCATCCTGAAGCAAAGTTCTTAACCCGAGGTACTATTTCTGGGTTAGCGGAGTCTGTAACCTGAAGCGTCTGTAACCTGAGGTATCACTGGACTGCGATATCCTTCTGGATAAGCTATCTGAGTTGGGTGCTGAAAGTACCCATGTTACTAGTGCTATTTTTCTAGAAAAAGAAGTGTCGGAACTCACCATGAACACCTCCCTCAATGGTGCCCACCTGAGAGGTGCTGGAACTGAGTTCTGGTGAGTTCCAGATGGAAAAAAGCCCTGCGTGTTACAGCAACTCTGTTCTTTCTTGGACAACCAATGATCCTCCATGCTGTTCTAACATCTACATAAAAGGTGGTCCTGGGAATGTGGTCTGAGGTGTCACCAACATGTGGATGGCACTCAGCTCTGTCATTTTGCTCCCCACCCCCCCACCCCCAGTAATATATTTCTTTAGTCTTCAGTGAGTGGCCAGAGATGAAGAAACATAAAAAAATTCCTCCTTTTCCTTCCACTCTGTAAAAAAACTATAGATTCTCCCCAGCATCATTTCCCTCAGATTGCACAAATGAATGCAAACAGCAGCAGCCCACAGCTTTTCTCATTTTCCCAGGTTCTGGAAAAATCTGAATTCACTTAACAAAAGCTATGAGATGATTGAGGACAACATCATATGAATGATGCTCAGAAACCTTGGACTCAAATAGTCTCAAACCCACAGGGCAAGCTAGCTTAAGGGTCTACCCCAAATATCAGGTACATCCAGTTAGGAAGCCCACTATACTGCATCCTTGGTAGGTGACGACCCAGCCTCTGAATGGTGAGGAGTCCGATGCCGCCTAAACTAGCCTGCTGCCTGTAGGTGTAGTGGTGGAAGATGCTAGCCAGTCGCCAATGTGGAAGTAAGATTCAGCTGTCATTTTAGTTCTATATATGGACTGGGATGGTGCCATCTTGTCTTGGCCTCAGGCTGCAAAATGTCTTGGACCACCCCTGGATTGCACTGTACGGCTGCAATCCTAAACATGCTAACTG